ATTTACATCCCTCTCCCCCAACCTGACAGTGCTTTTAGTTCCTACAGGAAATAGCCCGGGAGGAGCGGGGCAGCGCGGAAGGCAGCGCCAGGAGGTCCCAGGCACGGGGTCCCCACCCGGCTCTCCCCCCGTTCCCCGCCGTCTGCGGAAGCCACCCGCCGTCCCCAGAGTTTGCCCAGGCTGGATAAAGAGCCGTTTTCCAAGCAGAGGCCCCGTCCTCCGCCAAAAAGCCCGGCTGGCAGGGGTCTCAGACCGTGGTCTCGCCCTGTTTGCTGTTGGTGAGCCTGGTGTAAAACTTCCTCCAGGAGTTCAGGGTTTTCCCAGACCAGATCCAGAAGCCCGAGGTGATGCCCACAATTAAGGTCATGAGATACTTAATCATGAAGACGGTGAAGTCGGGGCTCATGGGCGGGTGGTGGCTATGGTTGTTGGGACAGGGGATGGCATAGCTCTTACAGCTCTGCGTGACCCAACTCCTCTCCCACTGTTCCCTAAACGCTTGCTCGTAAAAATAGCAGGCAATGACGATGGTGGCCGGCACTGTGTACAGGACACTGAAGATGCCTATCCTCACCATGAGCTTCTCCAGCTTTTCCGTCTTGGTGCCGTCATGCTTCATGATGGTCCGGATCCTGAAGAGGGACACAAAGCCGGCCAGCAGGAAGGAGGTGCCGATGAACAGGTAGACGAACAAGGGGGCCAGCACGAAACCCCGCAGGGCATCCACGTTGTTGATGCCCACAAAGCAGACGCCGCTGAGGACGTCCCCGTCTACCTGCCCCAGGGCCAGGATGGTGATGGTCTTGATGGCCGGCACGGCCCAGGCAGCCAGGTGGAAATACTGGGAGTTGGCCTCAATGGCCTCGTGGCCCCACTTCATGCCGGCGGCCAGGAACCAAGTGAGGGAGAGGATGACCCACCAGATGGAGCTGGCCATGCCGAAGAAGTAGAGCATCATGAAGAGGATGGTGCAGCCTTCCCGCTTCGTGCCCTGCGCCACGGTGCGGGAGCCGTCCTCCGTGAAGCGCTCGTTGCAGACCACCCTCTCTTCCAGGAGGAAGCCGGCGATGTAGGCCACGGCCACCGCCGTGTAGCAGCCCGAGAGGAAGATGATGACTTCATGTCCACCAGGTAGGTGAGGACGGTGAAGAGGGTGGAGGCACAGCATAGCACGGACCAGATGCCGATCCAGGTGCGGGAGAAGCGCAGCTCCTCGGGCCCGAAGTACATGAGCCCGTAGAGGCGGCCGGGCTCGCAGGGCGCCCCGCAGTCCTTCTCCCCCAGGAACCGGTAGTTCAGATAGGAGGGCACCTTCAGCGCCCGCGGGCAGGAGAAGCGCCCGCGGGGCTCGCCGGGCCCC